TTGTGTTTGGTTGTCATAAGGTGTTTTGCAATCAGACTACATATTCCCGTTATGTGCACCCAAACATTTTTGATCTAATCAGTTCACTTGTCGTGGAGTGGACCTGTTTCTAATTGTAATAGCACCTGTCTAACTGTACATGTCCGTTCACTGGGATTTGCAAATACAATGTACTATAAATGTGCTTGTTTGTTTTACGTCAACGATTGAGAAGATTAAACGAAATATTTACGTCTCGCGACATATGTCTATTTTCGGTCTCGATCCATCCAATTACATTATTTTTTCACCAGTAGTTAAATGGAAAGCTTCTTCCATCGACAGTCAAACAGTGCACTGCTTTAAATAAAAATATGATTTACCCCTAGGGAGAGAGAAAATTCAACACTTTGGGGTCTCAGGTTTAGATCAGCCCATTCGATTGTTCAGAGGCACCAGACACTGTTGATGGTCTTGGGTGTGGGTTTCATTCCTTGGGAGGTCCCTAATTTCCTACCAATTAAATGCATTTAAACGTGATGGAAATATATTTTTGATGACAAAAATGAGCATTGGATATCTGTTTCGTCCTGTTTGGGACTTGACAAAAGTACGTTCAACTGGTAGGGTATTAACGATCTTCCAAAAAGTGAAACCTTCCAGAGTGCCTGGTGCCCTTGAACGATCGAATGGCCTAATCCAGATATGATACTCGAATTTGGTCTAACCATTCGCACCAGGTGACAACCGTAGATGGTGTAAGTGTTTAAATTTCCACCCCGAGGGTTTGTAGTTTGAGTCCTGACAGAGTCACAAAAAGTCCGCATAGCCGACAAGTCCCAAACAGGACGACACAGCTGACCGGTGCTCTTTGTTCATCATGGCATTTAAAAAACATCAGCACATTTAGATGGGTTCATGAAGAGGTAATATACAGACGACCGTTCGTTAATTTGTCAGATATCAAGCTGAATAGCGGAGAGAACAGAGTTGTTGGGATGAGGTAAACCATAGGTTACGTCATCAGCTTATTCGATCAGCAAGAAAGTATTGCAAACAGGCATGGCATTTAATTCAGTGGGAAGTAAGAAAGGAAACAAAATGGTTCATTAAAGAATCCCTAATTCGGAAGCTATGGCTGAGGAGACTTTGCCACCGTGGCGTGTAAACTGTTTCTGAAAAAAAAATAATCATTTAGCATGGCAATATTAGGCGGAGAAACACCATGGTTTACAAGAATAGACAGAAGCTTAACTCTATCGACGCTTTCAAGTGCGTCATTGTAATCTGGAAAGGACATTCCTACAGCTTTACTGTTATTATCCGGTGATAACAAAATAAAAGGTACTGTAGAAGCTCGAGCATCGAAAGTAGGTTGATTACGACAATGCGAAAATTGTTTACAATTAGCTTTGTCCAATTGTAGGAGCAATCTGCGTTGAATGGTTGTCTCAGATACCTTCCGGACGGCCAAAGTAAAAGATATCAGACGAAATTTAGTTGAACGTTTTTTTGAAATTGGTGTACTGCTCGCTGTTCTCCAGTAGTCTGTTACTGAACATTTCGAATTGCAAAGTTTGTATATTTTAAAATCTGTGGTTTTGGAATCTGTGCTTCATTCGAGTCAAAACTTTCGTACTGTATGTAACCAATCAGTGAATCAACTATGTAGGAAGACACACAGGTGGATATTACGTCTGTTTGTCCGTCAGTCTATCCGTCTGCTCATTAGTCCATAAATCATTCTTCTTAGTAAAAGCAATGTCTTGATTATTCGGAGATATAGGCGCTTCAGTTTATCCACGTAAACATGCTGAAATCCTAAACACACTTTCTCTGCTTTATCCTCCACCCACTCCCCGTCTCACAACACAGGTCCATTCCTTACCACGATCGTGGCCCGTTTGGAAAGCCTCCCACATAACTGTTTCTATGCCAATTTGTATTTAACGAGCATTTTGTCCAGTCTGGCTTCGTATTCTCAACCTCTGTTACGTGCAATCATGCTACTTGTCCCATCAACCATTGCCGTTCATCAGTCCCGTTCCCAACCCACTGGAACAGAGGTCGATAAATCAGATGTACTACTCACTTGGCGGTCGCTGCAAGAGGCATATTCACAACTCCCCTATGCTGTACTGTGCTCGGTTCGCAAACAGCTGGACTTGTTTTCCATTCGGTATACCATGTGTCCACCGGACGGAATGACCATGTCTTTCATGGGTTTGGTCATGGATGCAAAACAGTATTTCCGTCACGCTAATGAAACCCCCTGCCCGTTCACTACGAACAATCACCTGGTCAGTGGTACACGCGACGCGACCGAAGTCACGACTAGTAAGTTTTCCTAAACACTTCCTGCCTTATTGCATCCCCCCCCCTATGCACATATGTGCATTTAAAATGCTGTGTAATAAATCCTGGTAAGTGTGGCTGTGATCTCAGGGATAACAGTGAACAGTGCATTGATACCCTGCTCTGTTTCTTGCAATAGGTGAATTTCTTGACTCCATGTATGTTTTGTAGAAAAGGAGAGCAGAATTTCGCATGAACGACTTGGGCTCAGAAACCAGATGACTCGGTTTGACAAGTACTGTGCACATTTGTCTAAATCTAGGGTCATTAAAAATGTACCTCCCCTTAAGCGCACTACGTACCATTTACAATACCCAGTGTATTTTCGTTCAATCCAAGGGTAATTCAAAACTGAAGTTGAAAATCTAAATTAGAATTAACAGTATGCTTAGTATGAGTAGACCTTGAATCAGCTGATTTGTAAACCAGACCGGGATCTCATTCCAAGAAATAAGGCAATTTCTCAACTTCCGTACAAACAATGATCGAGTGAAAACGGATAGGGATCCCGATTAACACAGCTCGTATCTTTCATTATTACCATTAATTTTAATAGTAGTGTTAGTAGTAGTAGTAGTAATAGTAGTGTTGTAATTCCGTAGAACGGTGCTGGTCGAGGATAATCGTTTGTTGAGGATTTCGGATGGGACAACATCAATTTGGCACACATAACACAAAAATCTAATCAGAAACATACCATCGCAGTTCCTGACCAGGCGACGGGTGCTGAGTGTAGAAATCGATAGTTCTTCTGGGAGACCCGGCAGATTACCCTCAGTGATCTTGTTGATTTTTGGTTGTTGAAAGTAATCCCCAACTATGTTACCTACTACTCACAAGTGAGTAATATCTCACAACAGTAGTAGTAGTAGTAGTGGCAGCAGCATAGATAGTAATAACATCAGTATCATGAGCGTTATTATCATTAACGAAACCTTGTAAGAGAATTGTGTTCGAATCGACAGTGCGACGTTACTTATGAGACCGCCCACAATGGAGCTTTATCATTTGAACTGTCAAGTCACGGTTTACTTTAATAAATCAGAGCAAAAAACTTATTGTTTGAAGGAAAAGTGTTATTTAAGTGCGATGGGAGTTGTGGTGATGACCAACAAAGAGCAACGGTAAGGAGGTAGAAATCGATGGCGCGGTGCAAACAAGGCAGCGCTCAAAGTGAACGAGGATTGATACACGTATCTGGTGCATTATGGGTGACTGGAAGGGTGATAAGTAATGCCTAAACTGATCACTGTTGTCGTGTTATGAGAAACCATTTATTGCTGAGTATATGGGCAGTTGATAGCTTTTATCTAAAATAATACAATTTCGTTGGGCGGTGCTGACCCGATGGTAATGTCACCAGATTATCAAACCGGGGATGTGTGTTGGAATCCCACCACCACCACCGCCTGAATTTCCCCATTTGTGTGTTGAATGGCAGCCCTTTGATCGGTCGCTTCCCCTTCTTGAAAACGGTATCTTTGTATGTTCAATAAAAGGAAGTAAATGAAAAGAAAAAAGAAGGAACAAGGCTTGTTCGGGAGTTTGAATATTTTCGTGATAGCTTTGCTCAAACGAGTCGGTGAGTGAACAGTTGTTTTCGGACACTCCTACACCTGCTGTAACATATAACCTAGTGGGAAACATGCTCACCTAACGATAGCCGTTGACTCAATTAAGATCAATAGTCGGAGGTTGTGTGTGTGTGTGTGTGTGCGTGTGTGTGTGTGTGCGTGTGTAGGAACGTTTAACGTGTTAGTTGATGTGACCTATCCCCACTTGGGTCAAATGACACGTCATGTTCTGCTTTGGTTTTCACATCAGACCAAGGCAA